CTCTCTCTCTCTCTCTCTCTCTCTCTCTCTCTCTCTCTCTCTCTCTCAAACACACATTCTCTGTGTGTACGTGTGTGGTGCTGCTTTGTCCCACAGCTCACTGGTTTGGTGCCCATTCTCAATAGAAAAACAATCAGTCACATGCAAAACAGACACATTGTTTCAGAACATTAGTCGGATTAAGGGCAACTGCCCCACTGTGTTTTTGATCAAGAGAGTAAACGCCTAACTGCTTCGGGGGTGCTGCTGTGTGTCTGATCCTGACCTCTGATCCTCCTCTAGAGAGAGGCAAGTGAATAGACAATACCTCCACAAGGATCACATACTTGTATTATTATTTAACCTGGTGACGATTGTATTTGACTGTTTTCTATTTCAATATCTGTCACTATCCATCAGAGACCGGCACTGACTAGTGCAGGCTGCCTCACACGTGTAGGAGGTGAAAAGAAACGACTGTTGACAGATTGAGGGAGTCAGAGTGGGAGATCATAGTTTGAGCAGGTCATCTTAAAGCCATTTGCTCAACAGGAATAAAAGCTTTTAAATGAAGGCAAATGGCCGTGACCATAAAGAACCCAGACAGTCCAAAAAAGTTCACACCAGTTCAAAGTTGTGAACCTGAGACAAATGTGCCCATGGGCGAGTTAACCCTCCAGGAAAAAGACATTCATTCCTCCCATCACTGCCTCATAAATAAATGTTCCACCAATTAAACTCTTAACCACATCAAACTAAGTGATATGATAAAAGCTGTTGAGGGTCTTTACGATTGTGAGTTGTTCTCTTTGACCTCAAAAATACACATGTTGATTACGATTGTATTATTATGTCACTGAGGAAGACGAAGAAAAGAAGAGAGAATATAGGAAACAAAAAAAAACGAAAGACATTCAAGCGAAGTTAATGCAATTAGAAGAGCCGTCTTTAGGGTGAAAATCTGAAATGAGAACCAGGCGTAGCAACAATGCATTCCACTCTCTGAGCCTGATAAAGAGAACCAGATGATCAATATGTGTGTGAGAGAGAGTATCTACGTATACTCCATACAGTACATATACTGTAAGTGAAGTGAGTGTCAACACAGCTTCTGTCTCAACGTCACTTTTTCATTAGCAAAGATTTACAGTTCAAAGACAGCCAACAACCTCCAACATGTCTCTACAAGCACAGAAAGACAGATACAACTTGTCCCTCACAAGCACTAAATGTATAGCACATGGGCACTGGATGAGCGAGGCATCATGCATGAACTGACTGCGAGGAGGAGAGAGGAGAGAATTGCCTCCACGTAAATTACAATATGGCCTATTTCATAATGTATCATGGACGTTATCAAACATCTAGATACATTCTGCCCAAAACCTCGAAGGAAATTCTACTTTATTTATGATTACTCTATTCAGTTTATCAGACCAGATTATAATTTTCTCATTTCAGGGAGCAATGAAACTTAAAAATAATCAAAAACGGGACAAAATGAGTTCATGACACAATGTAAAAAAGTCCTTAGAGGAAAAACGTGAGTCTTGTGCCACATGTTTGAACAACTGTGCCATTGCTAGTAGTGTGAGTGGAACTGATTAGTCCATGAAGACGGGCTGAAGGGGGCCAACCAAAGTTCAACTAGGGTTGAAATCCTGAACTATAGGCAGTTCATAGGATTGTTTGATCCTGTATGGACAATTTGATAAAGAAAATCATATTGTCCACTTTGTAAAACATATCAATACTTTTAAAGATTTGTTTTAAGTAAAACAGAAAATTGTTACATATGCGAAAGTATCAGTTCTGATATCCTACTAGTCCACATCTGTTTATCACGACGTGATGCTTGAGATTATACTGTACAACGTCTATTGAGTCAAAGCCCCCTTTCCAGTGATCACACACCACCATCCACATATCTGAACACACTGGATCTCTTACAGCGGTGTATGATTATCTGCACCAGTCGAAGTCTCAAAATGAGGGCCAGGTGTTCAAAAAGGAGGAGGGATGCTGTGCAAAGTGAAGATCTATACATTTTTTTTAATACAGTACATTTTGCAGAAAGGATATGAATCACATCATGACACCTAATGGCAGCTAATGATAATATTCCAACAGAACAGGACATACCACAGTAAACAACAAATAGCGCGTCGTGGTCGCATCTTAACAGGATTATTCCGCCATGTATGACATATTTGTATTCAGATGTATCTGTAAGTCAATGTGGAAGTCCATTTCATTACTATTTAGTGTAGAAGGAATCATTAAATAAAACATTTAAAAAAGACCATTTCCCCCCCCACAATGCGATAGTGGATATATGGTAAAAGAGCGCTCCTCAGTGGACGTATGCAGAGCTGCACCTTCAGTATGTTTTGGCCATGGTTTGGGACGCCATTTCTCATATAGTAGAATAGCATATGTGCTGCTTATTAATACATTTTTTTATATGCATTTGCATTGGTTGTCTATTTAGAAATGGACTCGTGCATATGCTTCCTGCAAAGAGGTTTAAACAAAATGTCTACATAAATTAACCTATAACTGATCATGTTAAGGATAATAATGCAAAATATGAACCATAATGTTGCTCTCAATTAATAATATGTTGGGTTAAGTGATGGTAAAACAGTATTTAAACTACATTAGGCCTGTGAATGACTATGCCTCGTCAGCGACAGCACGTTAACAGTACTCGGATAACCTCTGATGCATCATCTCATACGATCCAATAAAACTGCTTTATCGGCCGCTTTCACCAGACCGCTTCCGGGTCGACAAAGAGTTCGCCTCTGCTGCACAGAGCCAGGACTATTGGCAAAGGTCAGTCGAGTTGTCCGCCGCTAACCTTCCCACTCTCACTTTTCACTGTGCAATTGTTTCGTTTTTGCATTTCTGCGCGCGTGCAGGTGGTGTCTTTTTGAGTCATGCGTCGCCTTCTTGTGCGAGACATGCGTATTAGCTGCCGGCTAAAAGCGCTAGCTCGCTAGCCTATGTTAGCTTTCAGCCCCGGCTAAATGTTGCAGACAAAAGGAGGAAAGTGGCAGGCACAACAATCATGTGTATCTGTGACTCCATAGAATCTGCAATGAGCCCCAAAAACACATTTAATCCACCAGTTTTACGCTTTCATTTTGTTTATGGACGACACACAGTTGTGAGTCAGTGTTTCCAGAGGAAGCAGTTGATTTATTTGTAATTTATTGGGTCATAAACGTTAAAGAAGCCGTTAGCTAGAGGTTGAGAGCCCTTCAATTCCTGTCCCGGGTTTAATCCGGATTCCGGACAAAGCAAACCGAGTGTGACTCCGTGTTCATCCGTTTTATGAGCTAACGTTGTAGATGTAGCAAAATGTTGATGCTTTTTGATGACGTGGTAGGTTTAGTTTTTCTGACGTAAATTAAGAGTCCTGAACACAACACACCCAGGCTGTGGCTGTACTGAGAGAAATCAACATTGTTAATCCAGTCTGCTCTACAAACACATCTTTTTCCAGCTTCTTAAATTTACAGATGTGCAGATTTTTTTGTTTTGTTTTCTGTGATGGTAAATTGAATGCGTTTTGATTGTTGGTTGGACAAAACAAATTCATTTGAAGACATCTGCCTGGACTCACTTTAACTATTTATGTATGACTAAAAATAGTTGACATGACATAATTGACGACCTACATTCAAAACAGACGACCTACTTTGTGCTCCATATGCCGATGCTGTTCCCTTTGATTCTATAACATTGATTGAAAGCAGTGCTATATTGATTCTTTGACTCAAATACAATAAAGTCTACCACGTAGGCACCAGGAAAATAATGTCAAGTTCTTAACAGTCAAAAACTCAAAGATATTCAATTTGCAAAGACACAAAAGGAGAAAAGCAGCAATTCTCTTGTTGGACATAATGAAACCACAAATTGACTTAATTTGACCTTGTTAAATGACCCAAGTGATTATCAAAATATGCTATTTCGATTAATTGTCAAATAATTTCTGCTCTAGTTTCAGATCTAATAGAGTTGTGGTCTTTATTGTTGTCCATTTTAATTTTAACTTTCCCCCTTAACTTGATGTGTTTTTGACCTTTTACCTAAAACAGTCTCTTTACTCTTTATCGCCAGTCTATTCTAGTTTAACCCTACCACATCAGCTAAACTATCCCAGTCTATCCCAGTTCCATTATCTCCCTTTTTAAAGTAAACATGCAGTGCCCCTCATGCTGTCTACTGCCTTAGAGTCGTTCAGTAGGCTGCGACTGTCCTTGATTTAGTTAATTTACAAATGTGTCATTGTTGTTTGTCCTTGGAAATAGGACACAAGTGTACATATGCCTGTGTCCAGTATGTGTGTTGGATTTGAGTCCAAGTGCATGTAGGAAAGTGTGTGACCTATTGCATAAACATAGGTCATAAGTGTGTGTTTGATCTACAAGGGAACAGGGTAGGATATATTTATGTAAAACTTGTGAGTGCAACTTAAAGTTCTACTTTTTCAAATGGGAGAGTATTTGCAATTTTATTAAGATCTGATTATGATCATATAACACATATTTGTTCCCTCTTTCTTTCACATACTTTCATCCTCTTCTTATTTATCTACCCATAACCCCCCTATGCCTTCTGGTGCCCTTATCTCTCATCTGTCTCTTCCCCAGGAGGGGTGTTGTGTGTCCTGTTGAGCTCCTCCTGTCGGTTAGTGTCGGCTGTGTGTGTGCACCATGGCGAGCCTTCTACGTGTTGTGGCGACCAGCTGCTCGGCCCCTGTGTTCAGCGGAGTGTCCTGCGTGAAGCTGCAGAGCGGTGGCGGCGGTATCAAGTCGTCATGCCTTCGCTTTTTCAGGACCCATCAAGCTCTCGGACGGTGTGCTGCCAGTCCAGGTGACCCACAATACACATTTGGCACTAAACGCAAACCTGAGGTTTTAGTTGTAATGAAGGCTCTCCACTGAGGTCACAACATACATAGAGAGCACAGAGGCGGTGATGGTAACACACTGTCCCAGTGTGACGGCGACATTTGAGTCTTTTCCAGCCGTCCTTGAGCAAATACAACGGTTCCAAGCGTAAATATTTTGATATTGCGCCAGTTTGTGGACATTTGATTTATTGACTGTATACCTGCTTTGCTTGGCAAGCTGTAAACTAATGAGATTAGCATCAGCTGCTTGTGTGGACAGCTACCATGTATAAGGCAGATTGTACACATTTGATGACCCGCTCATATATGAAGTGTCACTCTGTGTGCTACTTACTGTTCAGCCGTACGAGCAAGAGCTGCAGAGGACCTGAAAGGGAAAGGTCGCCTCTACAGCTAAAGAAAGTCAATTAATTGATTTGTCGATTGACAGAAAGTTGATTGGCAACTGTCTTGAAAATATATAAACCATTAATCTGTTTTTATTTAAAATGACATTTTCTGGTTCTCTCAATTGTGAGGATTTGCTGCTTTTGTCTGTTTTATATTATTGTACAATTAATCTTTTGGGGGTTTTGGCTGTTAATCGGAGAAAGTAAGCAATTTGTTTATGTCACTTTGGACTCTGGGGAAAAATGTGAAGGGCGTTTTATAGTACAATGGTTAAACCATTAATCGAGAAATAAAATCATTAGAATAAGAGTTAGTTGCAGCCTTAATTGCCCTTCTGGTTTACTAGTGTTTTATTGGCTAACGTGATTTTCCAAAGAAACTGAAAGTGGATGATGGCACCGACGGGTATAAAAAGCAGCCACGTGGTGTACATTTGAAAGAAAATTCTCAGGTCCAAATTTGTGTATGTTTGAGCATTTACATAACTACATTTCCCATGATGACATGGCTCCTTTTTTAATAGGTGCATGTCCCACTAGTCTAGGATTAGGTATTGTGGCCTTCTCAAATATAAAGTCATCAGATCAAAAAGGGATGGTTTAATTCATGGATACCAGACTTATTTTCCTTCCTGTTGGACTCTAAATGGAAAACACTTGTAAACCAGCTGTTGAGGTTTTGTAGATGCACGTTTTACTACTGATAGCAACATGAAAACACCACCACCTGCACCTTCTGTGTGCATTCTCATGTACCTTTTGTGGCAGGTGGCAACATACTCTTTCCCTCATCAATGGTACTATTCGGCATTAGAAGTGTGCTTAATTCACCTTTGGCCTAGTAGAGCCCTACCCATTCATTCTTATCTTTGCAAAGCTAATTGTTATGAAGAGGTCAATTGTAGAGGTCAATGTTGCTACCTGCATTTGCTTTGAATCCGAAGGTCACATTGAGCATTATTTTCCATGCCCTCACTTTGTACCCAGTAGAGAGAGCGTGTGTGCGTGTGTGCGTGTGTGCGTGTGTGCGCGCGTGTGTGTGTGTGTGTGTGCGTGTGTGTGTGTGTGTGTGTGTGCGTGTGTGTGTGCGTGTGCGTGTGCGTGTGTGTGTGTGTGTGCGTGTGCGTGTGCGTGTGCGTGTGCGTGTGCGTGTGCGTGCGTGCGTGCGTGCGTGCGTGCGTGCGTGCGTACCAGTACCAGTACCAGTACCAGCTGGTTGCAGGTGCTTCATGTGTGCGTTATGATTGTGCTGATGTCTCTCTGTATGTGCAGGTGAGTGTTGGTCAGGGGTGCTTGTGACCTGGTTCATGCCGACATTCCTGCAGTTCAGCCAGCGCCAATAACAGCTGGCAGCGTCTATTCTGGACACACAAGTATCAGCTTACAGGCTCGTAAAGGAGGGACGCACACCACAAACACTGCATATAGATGTGCTTATGCTCTGACCTCTGGGGAGCCTATAGACATACAGTATAGACCGAGAGAGTGCGTTGATGTGAACTATGTCATGGACAAAATGACGGTTACTGGCCCTCTCAAAACTTGCAAGCACCACAGACTTTGATGTACTGGAGATGTCTGTTTGTGAGACCAGTGTTACGACATGAATACAGTAACTATGCCTCTTGGTTAGCAGATGCATTGATCTGTCCGTTTTCACGCACTCTTACCGGTTGTGTTCGAACATTAAACAGGGCACCACTTGTACATTAGTAGTGCATGCTGAGAATCAATCTGTGTACAATATCCCAATTGATGGAACAGCGTTTTTTCACAGTGCGTCTATGGCCTTAAAGGTACATTATGGATCTCATTTTCGGTGTTTCTTACACATTGTGTGTACCCTCGTGGTCGTGCTCGTTTTCTTTGATTTAGATGTAGCAGTTTATCAATGATCATGTTAACTCTACAGTGAGATCCTCAGCTGCTCTTAAAGTACAAATATGTACGGTCAGAACACAAGATAATGCTTGTTTGCTGCTGCACTATTTTCCGGGTTATGGTGGTTGATCGAGAGTAGCTGCTGGAGTTTGAACTTAATCTAAACTGCATTGTTATAATATGATAGACCCAGCTCTCTGACTTTATTACCTTCAGGTGAGTGCTACATTTGTTTGCAGACACAAATGGGACACACAATGCATTCAGTGGCAAGTTGTGACTATTGGTTTATAGAAATGTTATAAAGCAATTGCTGGCAACCATTTTCTTATTGTGTTGTTGAGCTTTTTCATGAAACAAAAGTTGTTGGAGGACGGGTCACCACAGCGGGCGAGAGACTCGTGTGTTTATTTATAGGCAAGGAGACGGAGGGAAAGAGCTGCAGTGGAATTTTCCATAGGTGCCGACACATGTGACCTGACTGCTGCTTAGACACTAGACCCGAATAAGAGTACTAAACAAGACACAGAATGAGCTGGCTGAAAATATTAATAGTTCAGCGTCATTGGCATACTCATTGTATCTCACTTGACATCTTTTTATCTTCCCTTTACCGATTTAATTCTCATAAACTTCTCTTTTGTTCTCACACATGTTGAATCAGATTTCAATGTCAGTTGTTCAGTTAAACTATTTGGTCACGACTGTAATATCTTGATTGAACATTAAGGTGGATTGCTGTTACATTTTGCACACTAATCATGTTCCCCAGAGGATAAATCCCTCATGGCTTTGGTCCCCCTGACTTTTTTTCTTCTTGTGCCAACAGCAGGTCAAAGTTTTCCAGTGATGAATATTTATCTATCTAATGAATTGGCACATCCATGATTTTTTGGTTCACTTTGGTTTATGACCAAATACCTGCAAAACTAAAGACATTCCCATGAGTCTCAGCTGTACTTTTTGTTCAGTGCTAAGTAGCAAAAGTTTGCATGCTAACACACCGCGTACAATCCTCAAAGAGCCACTAACATCTCGGCTGTGGACTCTCACTGTTGTTGCTGGACACTGACCTTGTCTGTCTGCCTTCATTGCACATACAGTACAGTATTTATGGTAAACACAGTTTTAACTCCGCTCACGGCCGTTTCCTGAGGAAATTCTCCTTGAAGCTGCAGACGTTTCTGCCTGAAAGAGTATTTTCCTCTGTGCTGTTGTGATGTTTATAGAATAAAACATTTTCTAAATATCAAAGTACCTCCTTTGTCTTAAATCATGAGCCCCAATAATTGCAATGATCCATTCTATCAACAAAATCCCTGTAAAGTATCCTGTCTATAGTATGTGTATCTTTCTGCTGTTTGTGCATGTTTTAATTATATTGATTAATACGACCCCTTCCACTTATGTCTCCTGTATTGTTTCTCTTTGCCTCTGCAGGTATTGCATACAAGCAACTCACAGTCGGTGTGCCCAAAGAAATCTTCCAGAATGAACGTCGTGTGGCGCTTTCCCCCGCTGGTGTCCAGGCGCTCATCAAACAGGGCTTCAACGTTGTCGTGGAGACCGGAGCCGGAGAGCCTTCCAAGTTCCATGATGAGCAGTACACTCAGGCTGGAGCAACGATTAAAGACATTAAAGATGTCTTGGCATCTGATGTGCTGGTTAAGGTAGGCTTTAGGTGGGGAATGAGAGGTGGAGTGTTTGATCAGAAAGGGATGAGGAGGTAAATACGGTTGGGGTTATTCAGTGGCTCTATTGTTATATTTATTGCTTTTACAGTCATGTATAATCTGTCTTTAAAAAAAATAGAAAACCTACCTTTTACCTGTACAGCTATTAGTGTACAGAGCTTGTCCTGTTCTACTTCAATCAATCGCTCTGCTTCCAGGTTCGTGCTCCCATTTTCAACCCCGACTTGGGTGTCCATGAGGTGGAGTTGATGAAGGATGCGGCCACTTTATTCAGCTTCATCTACCCAGCTCAGAACCCCGAGCTGATGGACATGCTGTCCCAGAAGAAGGCCACCGTCGTGGCTATGGACCAGGTGCCCCGAGTCACCATCGCCCAGGGCTACGACGCACTGAGCTCCATGGCAAACATCGCAGGGTATGTCCACGATGCCTTCAAGGGAGGTCACTGCGTTTATGAAAAGCATCCTATCGAATGACTCACTGATGTGTTTTATTTTTTTAATTGGACATGTTAAATGCTTGCAGTTCATACTTATATCCATATTGCTTGAAGTTTCATTGTATAATTTCCTGTCTTATTTTGCTCTCCGTCATTTCAGGTACAAGGCGGTTGTGTTGGCAGCTAATAACTTTGGTCGCTTTTTCACTGGACAAATCACAGCAGCTGGGAAAGTGCCACCTGCAAAGGTGTGTAGTACGAGTGTTTCTGCATTTAAAGTTTATTTTATTGTCAAAGAATAGATGGATTGTCGTAAGTGTGTGTCTATGCCAGTTTGAACATGCTAAATCCCTATACTGACCAACCCAATCTATTTCATGTATGTTCACGTGAATAGGTTCTGATCATTGGAGGTGGTGTGGCTGGATTGGCTTCAGCTGGTACTGCCAGATCCATGGGAGCCATTGTCAGAGGATTTGATACCAGGTTTGTTTTTGTATTTTACTATTTTGATAGTACTGAAACACTCCTTGAATTAAGTTGTTTTAACAAAGAAATCTGTCAATTTCACCCGAGGTCTGTGTGTGCAGTTTTCAGGACAAACAATGTTACTCTTGCATTACCAGTCTAGCGGAGATATTTTCCCTCTTCCTGACTAAGAAATCCCCCCCCCCCCCTCCTCCCTCTCTGTCTCTCTCAGAGCTGCAGCTTTGGAGCAGTTTAAATCTCTGGGCGCAGAGCCGCTGGAAGTGAACATTGCGGAGTCGGGAGAGGGCCAGGGAGGCTATGCCAAGGAAATGTCGAAGGAGTTCATCGAGGCAGAGATGAAGCTGTTTGCCAAGCAGTGTCAGGAGGTGGACATCGTCATCACCACCGCTCTTATCCCCGGTATGCAGAGAAGCACAGACTCACGCACAGCGTAAACACCAACTGTAAATGTAGAAAAGGACACATTGTCGGTCGTGGAATACCACAGAATGTGAGAGACGTGTGTTCTGGGCAGGTAGTTAGAGAATTTAGATATAAAAAGAGTTATTAATATCTTAACCAGAACACATTTTACAACAGTTTCCGATTTGTTCCATTACTTTGTTGGTTTCAATAGTTTTTGTACATTGCATTGGCCATGCGTACACAGTAGCTGTGGTGATTATGTTTCACTTCTTGGGTCGGTGTGTGTGATGCCTCCATGTCCGTGTTTCCATTGTGACATTGCAGGAAGGCGTGCACCCATCCTGATCACCAAACCCATGATAGAGAGCATGAAAGATGGGTCGGTGGTGGTGGACTTGGCTGCTGAGGCCGGAGGAAACATCGAGACCACAGTACCCGGAGAGCTGTCGGTACACAAGGTCGGCTCACATGCGCTCTCAAAAGAAAGTGTTTTTGTTTTTGTTGATTGTCTTGTAATTTATTTTAATTTATTCATTATTGTCTTTAGGGCGTAACCCATATCGGCTACACAGACCTGCCCAGTCGCTTGCCCACACAGTCCAGCACTCTGTACTCCAACAACATCACTAAGTTGATGCGGTTCCTCAGCCCAGACAAGGATAACTTTTACCTCGATGTCAAGGAGGTGTTTGACTACGGGACCATTGCTCACGTCGTCAGGGGATCCGTTGTCATGCAGGTATGACGTGCAATGCACAGAAAACAAACTGAGGATCCATGCAGTCATTTATAGAAATCATTCAAAATGTCCTGCAGGTCCTTTTCACCATCACTAGATGTCACCCTCAGACAAAACAATCTTTTCTTCTTATGCTTTGTCCCTAAAAATGTCTCTAAACAAGTTTGTGTTAGTTACTATGAAAACGTTCTGTCTATGCGGGACCAAATTCGTCATCTCAAGCTTTTATTTGTAATATAATATCTGCTTATGCTACTCTAATAATGCTTTTGTTGATAAGAGCCTATAAAAATAATGGCCTGCCAATGTTATTGGCCTCTATTGGCTTGTTACAACTATCCTATTAGTAATAAGTAAGTAATAGAGCATATGATGTTGCCTGAGGGAGAACAACAAGCTTAAAACACATTGCAATCCAGAGCTGCTAGTCTATTCCCTTTCTGTTATTTGTGTATTTTTAGGACCTGTATTTGATTACATATTGGGCAGATTAAATCTCCTCACTTTTTACATTAAAAGGCTTCCCTTTTTTTATTGTGTGGTAATTAAGAAACAATGTTGCGTCATTTTTTCAACTGTAAAATGTTCGGATCAGTGCAGATCTGGGTCACAGCTCTGCGAATTTAAGGGATCCTTCAGAAAAATATTTGTTTCTGTGTTTTTGTGTTGATGCAAGAAAAAGATTTTTATCTCCTGAATGTGGATATCATTACTTCAATCCAATATCCATGTTTTTCAGTCTGGTGGACGCATATCATTTACACGTCTTCAATCATAGATCACTGTTAACTTTTTAGGAGAATACTCAAGGAGAATAATCAATCTAAGCGGTGTTCTTTCGGAGCAAACGAATAGATTTGCGATGGTAATTTGACTCGTATCTGATACAATGATCACACAAATGAGGCTGAAATGCAGATATTACTTACGGTGCTTACTGATCATTAGTTTGCTTACTTTGATCTTGACAGCGTGCTCTAATGTTTCAGAGATTTGGGAATGCAACAGAGGACATTGTATCAGGTGTAGATAACTACAAGCCAAGCCATTAATATGGTGGATAGGAAAGATTGATTGAACCTTCTGTTTCCCCCCCCCCCCCCCCCCCTCCCCCCCCCCCCCCCCCCTCTTTCTCCCTTCCACATCATACCTTTTCTCGGTCTAAATTCCAGGATGGAAAGAACCTGTTCCCCGCTCCCCAGCCTAACAATGTGCCCGTCGCAGCGCCTCCTAAACCCAAATCCGTCCAGGAACAGGCGAAGGAGAAGGCCGCACAAATCTCCCCCTTCAAGGCTACACTCACTACTGCTGGCGTGTACACTGGAGGTTGGTTGAATGTGCCATGAAATATATGGATTTTCTGGTTAAGAAAATAATTTAGGAGGATGCCATGTCTGAGAACTTTGCTCATTTACAAGTCTTGTTAATTGTCCACATTGGGTCTTAAGGGAGGTTGAGGTCTGCCAGAAGGTGAAGCGTAGGTTAATAATCAGCTTTTTAGGTCGCTGCTGGAATGTGCACAGGAGGCGAGAAGTGACACACACAGACACCCTATTAGTGTCAGGAAGTGTGCATTGTGAAGAAAGAAATCTCACGCTAAGTGTGTGTTTGAAGTAGTGCTGTTGTGAGTGGTTCCCATGGTGCCACACAGCGCTCTGTGTTAAGTGTGCCACATGCAGTGCATGTGGTTCACACGTTGTTTAGGCGCTCGAGTAGTTTCCTACTTAATACCAACTCACGGCTGCTGGTTTTAGCTGCTCTTTTTATTTATTTTTTAAACAGTGTGAACTTGCTTAATGCTGGTTACATGCTTATTAGTGTGGCATGTAATGTAGTCATTTGTAATCATTTTAGACTGACCGCCATGGAGACGGATAGCATCTTTTGCTTCACCAGGCAGTTTGTTTCAAGCCACCAGACAAATTGCTCTTTGACTGATAATTATACCTGTCTGTGGAAGTAACAGGAAATAAGGACATCATGGGTGGTCAAGTGCCTTCCACATCTTGCAGTCAAAGAAAATGTGCTGATAGTTGAGGAAATGTACTTTATCCAAAGCTCATTTATACTAATTTAACTGCTACTGTTGGATCAGAGATGAAGAAAGATAAGATAGGAAAGAATACTTTGTTTTTGTTGTTTTTATAATCTTTTTTTTGGTGGAATTATTGGATGGTTTTCTGTCTTCACTTTGGGCTCACAGTGCATGTATATTCAACCTGGGACAAAAGGGTTGCAAGTGAAGGTTACCTTCTCTTGTGGAGTCATACGGTAAAAGGGTTGGGGACCAATGACACTTTTCCTGTTCTACATGCAGTTCACTAAATGTTAATTATCTCAATTGCTTTCACATTATTCGAACAGATTCTTCCCCCAGATATACTGTTCAAGCGTTCTCTAGTTTTTAAAGTAGCTCTCTTTTTTTCCTAAATTTCTTTAACCAGGTGCTGCCACCCTGCTGGGTCTGGGTCTGGCAGCTCCCAACGCCGCCTTCACGCAGATCGTCACCACCTTCGGTCTGGCTGGCATTGTGGGATACCACACGGTGTGGGGAGTCACTCCTGCTCTGCACTCTCCACTCATGTCTGTCACCAACGCCATCTCAGGTTGGTTGTGTTTTGGTGTGTCTTTTACAAACACCTATAGCCAGATTTAGTGTCCCACTAATCTTTATAGCAATAAATGGGATGGTGTGTGTGTATATACCAACAAAACATCATTGAATTCTAACACATAGTACAAAAAGCAAAAACACATTCTGGTGTAAAATTAAGACCAAGCCAGGAGATCAAACATGCCACCCATCAGTCCAGCAGATTTCTCTGCAGCCGTGCTGTTATTGGGTCCAAAATAATAACGTAGAAGATTGTTTCCTGATTGTCGGCTGCAACTTAACACAGAGGGGTTAAGAGGTTAGAGAGGTAAGTGCATGTGTGTGTCCTCGTGGCTTTGATCACTCTTAAAACCCACACCGGGGTAGGAAGTAACACACCGTCTGTGATCTTTGAGGGTCAGGGAAGTCGTTGCTCGTTTATACACAGCCAGACATGAGCGCTCGATTGTGGTGCTAAGCAGTGCAACAACTAACCGCTTTGACTTCCTTTTTAAAACTTTATCACTTGCACCAATACACTATTTTCACATTTTGTATCTTCACAGCATCACACTTGTTCTTCTGGGTCTTTTTGCTTTTAGTTTCTGCCATGTTCTGTCTTCCTGAAGTGTACCATCTGTTTAATTTGTCAAATGTAATCGATAAATCATCACCGAATATCAGTAGAATATGAGACGGCAAATGAAATTAATCATCACACGTTAGAGTTCATTTTAAGGTCTTTCTGTCTACTTCTCTCTGTGTCTGCCCTCCATCTGTCCTTCTATCCCTGTTTAGATATTTTCCGTCCATATTTTCCGTTACTTCATTATCATTTTTTTATTTCTGTCACTGACTGACTGTGGTTATGGAAACAGTGAGACCAACATAACTCTGTTAATGTTATGCCAGGCATCGTAAAGTCACACACACAATCACTCAGACATTAGGGAATCATATTGGAATTTAGGGTTTGAGTAAGGGACAGTTATATTCTTCATGTGGGGGAATATAGTGTTACAACCAGTAGTGACGGACTGGTGGGTCATCTTGAATTCCTCAGAGGCTGGTCTCGTATCCAGTGGCTCATTGAGGCACAGCTTCATATCTGGTGTCTGATAGAAATGCTTTAATCTACTTGAGAGCACTGATTCACTGTCGCACTGTGCCTGTAGCCCGGTAGCTGAAGTTTGTCACAGCGACGTTGGCCCACCCAGTATATGTATGGTGTGTGTGCACTGATGCCTATTGGCTTTCTTTCTGGCCAATCTATTAGTTTTAGTAGCCAGGCTTGCCTTTGATCTCCGCCAAATAGTGTAACTGTACTACTTTTATTCTTTGGATAAAGTAGTAAAATCTAGAAGGCTACACCTTTTTATGTTGACGTGTCCGATGCATATTTAATCATCGTTTAGAATAATATTATGTGAATGCTGTCCTCTTCATATGCTCCTCACCAACAAACGTTGCATGTTTCCTTCTGTCGTCTCTTTCTAAACGGTAAGAATTTAATCAGCCTGTCAATTTCTGTCGTAGAAGTTGTGAAATGACGTTTGGCAGCATTTGAAAGTTGCTTTGTTTAGGAGCTGATATGACAAAAGGAGACCCGTGAGAGAGAGGGTCAAACTTCACATATACCTTATTTGAAAATTCTAACTAACACTATTTATTTGATGCATGCATACACACACTCTACACACACACACACACACACTGCTAGTCAACTTAAATTACACTCAAACACAATTACTGCAGGCTCTTGGGGTGCCGTGTGTTGCATCCTACTGCCTGTAAGTCATTACAGGACTGATGTTATCAAGGTTTCCTGAGCCTCTTTTGGTAAACACACGCTCCCACAATCTTTCTATTTCTGTCTTGTTCCAATGCGGGAAGCAGACAAAGTATTAGCTTATAGAGCTTAAGAAACAACTCTAAAATCCCTATAGCTGTTACACAATGCTGTGTTAGGATGAACTCTTTTATGACCGAAGTATTCTTTTGTTGTTTTTTGTAACATCTTCACCAAAGGTTTCACTGTCCCGTATAACGAACTATGAACGTGGAGGATCATGAATTACTTCACTATCCTTGTTCTGCAGGTCTGACGGCTGTGGGTGGTCTGTCCCTGATGGGAGGCGCCTACACCCCATCAACTACTGCTGAGACACTGGCTGTGCTGGCTGCCTTCATCTCCTCGGTCAACATCGCTGGTGAGTCACCCGCACGTGGACGCCTCGCAGTGATCACTGCCAGTTACAGCAACCTTTAGCCAATAAAATATCAAACTTAGGCCGAAGATTGAAGTGTTTTGTATTGATTGTACAATAACATGCTTTCGAACCAAGTTTTGCAGCTGCCCTCTACCCACCTGCTCAGACCGAGTCGGTGGCTCTGGCCTGGACCACACACACACATGCATCTCTGCTATTTCCCTTAATAATTTCCATTATAATGACAGTGTTCCTGGAGTCATTATAATACTCATCACTCTCTAATTGTCCTGTTCTTAGCTCACAGCTCGACACCAGTCGAATGAATATAGCTAACTTGCTAATCGATCTGTTCAGCCTGTTTGTTTAATGCACCCGAGCTTCTTTGAGTGTTTGTGTGTGAGATGCAGGCCACCTCAAAGTTTTTTTTTTTTTTTTTTGGTTTGTTTTTTTGTTTTTTTTATGAGTTCAATGCAGGGCTGTGAATCCTGCCCCAATTCTCAGGCCCTGTAGGTTCCTGTGGCAGTACTGTTCAAACCACCTATTAGTCTTTTCGATTTCCCTCAACTAAAGCATGCTGAAATACCACAGCCTCTATAGACATACCTGGTTTCATTTTTGATCTTCTCCATGGGTTTGTTTCCACACGCACATTTCCAAGCGGTTTACCGCATTACCCATAAACCCCCGGGAACAGAAATAAAACATTCCATGGAATGGGACGAAACACAATAGTGAAATTTAGCTCCAAAAAAACCAGACCCTGACATTTTTCTGTCTGTTTTGAGGAATAGGTCGCTGGCCGAAGCTTCTTGTTCCCTTTGTGTCTCCGCAGCTGAAAGATGTGGGAATGCACGGAAAACACCTCCGTCTGTTGAATATCTTGAGGCAACTATGTTTTCCTCAAAAACCCAATGTCAATGGGCAATATCACATTCCTTATTTTCCTGTTATTGCACCAGGCCACTCATTTCAGTCATTGAGCGAAATCTTATCATTAACTCTGATTTATAAATGGCTTATAATTACCTTCATGGTAGAAACGGACCAGCTGAGTCATTGTAAGATGCTCTGACTTTTTCATCATCAGGTCAAAATTTATATAACCAATATAGAGATGCACTAATCCAACTTTTTTACTCATGAGACCGATAACGATACCTGGGATTTGGGTAGCGGCTGATACAGAGTGCAATCCAATACCAGTGTCTAATTAATAAGCTTTATGCCTCACTGTGTGGAAGTGACTGGCATGTACAGTAGAGCCTCACAGAGCTGCTAGCCTGTCTGTAGACTCTACGGCCTCATGTTGGCCAGTGTTGCTGATTTACTTCTATTCTTGGAAGCTTTCTAAATATAGTGTCAGCAGACCCCTTCTGGGTTTGAAAAACTAAATAACCAAAAGAAACGAGTAGATGCTGGCTTTGCGTTGTTAAAATACGTGAACATTCCTCCATGTTAATATATTGACACAGATTGGTCAGCAATAATATTAGTCTGATTTTTGTTACACTTTTCAACCAGGACAGTCTGACAAAATTTACATGAACTGGTAAGAAAAGTGTGTGTGTGTGTGTGTGTGTGTGTGTGTGTGTGTGTGTGTGTGTGCGCGCTGCAATAATGGCAGGGGAGAAAAGAGAGACACGGAAATGTGATCTCCTCCTGTAAAGCAGTGAGACACCGTCTGGTCCCGGTTTGAGGTTTTCTACTTGAAATATTTACACTGACATAAAGTAGACTCATTGAATTCCTCGCATTAGTTATTGGGCTTGGCAACAGTTTTTAGCTATTGACTGAAACACCTGTTGTCTAAAAATAGATGTTCTTCATGTACTTCAGGTGCCTTTACGTCCCTGCATCAACACCTCTTACACAGTGTTACAATATTTCTTCCATAAAGCAGATTTTAAACCCATTTTATTGCCATTGTAAGTACAGATGTACTCAATTTCTCTGTCTCTCCACCCAGGTGGTTTCCTGGTGACTAAGAAGATGTTGGACATGTTCAAGCGTCCCACTGATCCTCCGGAGCATAACTACCTTTATCTGCTTCCTGGCGGTGTCTTTATCGGTGGCTACGCTGCTGCTCTGCACTCTGGATACGACATTGAACAGGTGCGGGAGGATGTTTGAAATGCCATGTCCCCCGTGTTTTCCCAGATGTGGTACAGGCCCTTCCAAGAAAAGCAGTTGGCCTAATGTTTCATCCTGTGGACCCTCAATCGTTGTCTATAATCCCCTTTTTTTCCCCCCATTCTCTGCCTCTTTTTTGACCAGATGATGTACCTGGGCTCGGGTCTGTGCTGTGTCGGTGCCCTGGCCGGCCTTTCCAACCAGAAAACAGCCCGTCTGGGTAACGCTTTGGGTATGATGGGAGTCGCGGGGGGGATCATTGCAGCTCTGGGTTCCCTCAAACCGAGTCCTGAGCTCCTGGCACAGATGAGTCTAGCCATGGCTGTAGGTGGCACTACTGGTGAGTCAGTCTGTATTAATATCAAAAGAAGGACAAGGCAGACTTACAGAATGGTGTTTCAGCAAATGTAAATTTGTGGAAATTGGTTTTGCATTGTTTGTGTGTATGTGCATGTAAGCCTGGCCAGATTAAGCTGCAGGTGTGCAGAGCGCAACATCAAACACAACATGACTAACTCCCCGCTAGACTCGGGGGGTCGAAATGGTCAGCAGCATGTATTACTCACTTTTTCTTGCTCATTGAGGACGGTTTGATCATTTAAATGCTAATTGTTCCAGTAACGAAGCGGAAACTATCCATACAGACAATGTACGCACGCACACACAAAGCGTAGACCCACTCACAAACATGGAATTTCCCCAAACAGGCCTCATCAGCAACACCTGGTTCCTCAGATGGACCCACTTCCCAGCAGTCCTCGTGTGTGTGTGTGTGTGTGTGTGTGTGTGTGTGTGTGTGTGTGTGTGTG